GGAGGCCCAGCGAGGGTAAGGCCGGTGTGGGAGAGGTGGGCCTCCAATCTCCCACCCACAGTATTTCCTCACCCGCTTAGATCCAAGCTCTCATTCAGTCAGGCAGGAAGCCGGGACAGTGTGCAACGTAACCCCCGCTGTGTGACCTCAGGAAATCTGCTGTGCCTTTCTGGTCCCTTGTTTCCTTATGGAAGGGGAGTAGTGTGTGGTTTTGCAGGGCATTTGCAAATTCCTTGCTGCTTGACTTGGGCAAGCTGTGTCTGTTTCCCCCTCTGTAAACAATGACGGTACAGTCCTTACCGAGTTGCGGTCAGGATTAAATACACCCTGGATGTTCATTAAGTGAGGATTGGATGCCTTCAAAGTGGCTACAGCAGTGCCTGGTCTCCAGTCAGAGCTCCACAAAGAAGGGTTGTGGGTGTGAGTGCCGCCTCAGGTCCTCAGTCAGCGGGATGGGGGCTCCCGGGCCGTGATGTCCCGTGGGGCGCGGGGAGGGTGGAAGGAGAATCCTTCGTGTTTGGACAGGAAAGGTTGGCGAGACGGCAGCCTGTGGAGCTGGCCTGGTCCGTGGGCGACCCCGCCTCTGTGATGTCCACTTTCCTCCTGGCCAGAAGGGGTGCGACAGGGTGTCAGTGAGCATTGGATGCAGTGATGGGGCGGACACGGGGCCCCAGCTACAGCCAGCGGCCCATTGTGTGGATGGCGTCACTGCCGTGTACCCGCAAGCCTGTGCCTTCATGGCGTTGCCCACACGCTCCTTCACCCGCTTGCTAGAGTGCTCGGGGTCCCGAGTGGGCTGGGCCGGGGGCTGGAAGGGTGCTTGCTCTGTGGGGACTTTGCTTCCTGTGGACAGAGGCTTGTTGGGAGGTGCGGCGCCAGCAGCCTCTTCTCAGCCTTCAGAATCAGCAACAATCCCAAACCAAAGTGAGAGAAAACTCAGGAAGCTGCGAGTGGCCCCAGAAGGCCAACGAGGGAATCAGCGTCACATCTGTCACTAGGAAGGATCAAGAACCGAGCCTATGGCCCAGAGCAACCTGGGTAGCCAGGTTCTAATCCCAGTCACAGGACCCATCCTGGGACAGAGAGACAGATAGGCTGGGGAGTCGGGGGTAGTGGTGGTTAGTGTGGACTTTGCTGAGTGCCCAGGGAAGACTTCTTGGAGGTGGAGGCATGGGATCTGGGCTTTGTAGGATGAGTAGGAGTTTGGTGGAGTCCCCTGGAGAAGAAGGGGACTCCAGGCAGAGCTTGCAGCATAGGCATCGAGGTGGGAAATGCCATGAGTTGGACTGTGCTCATTTGTCATGAACATGCTTCATGTGTGTGTACCGTGTCATGTGTGCACACATACGCATAGTACATAAACCAGTTGATCCTTGTCAGACCTACTGCACTTAGATGCATGTGCATTTGTCCTGGAGTGGGCTTATAGACAGTAACAATGGCAATCATAGTAACTGGTCCCAATTTTATTTTTTTTCCTTTGAACGTGTTGGGTCTTCGTTGCTGCGCGTGGGCTTTCTCTAGTTGTGGCGAGCGGGGGCTACTCTTCATTGCGGTGCGCGGGCTTCTCTTGTTGCAGAGCATGGGCTCTAGGCGCGCAGGCTTCAGTAGCTGTGGCACAAGGGCTCAGTAGTTGTGGCTCGCGGGCTCTAGAGCGCAGGCTGAGCAGTTGTGGCACACGGACTTAGTTGCTCTGCGGCACGTGGGACCTTCCTGGACGAGGGCTCAAACCCATGTCCCCTGCATTGGCAGGTGGATTCTTAACCACTGCACCACCAGGGAAGTCCCATTTTTTTTTTTTTTAAATCGGTGCATGTTTTCCACTTTCTTTTTTAAAAAATCTATTTACTTATTTATTTATTTATTTATTACTTATTTGGCTGTGCCGAGTCTTAGTTGCAGCACTTGGGATCTCTGTTGTGGCATGCAGGATCCTTTAGTTGTGGCGTGCGGGAGCTAGTTCCCTGACCAGGGATGGAACCCGGGCCCCCTGCATTGGGAGCGTGGAGTCTTAGCCACTGGACCACCACGGAAGTCCCGTGCCAATTATTAAGTGCCAGGCACCGGACCATCCGCTTCCGTGGATCATCTCAGTGTCCATCTTTACATCCTGCTAGTGTGAAGAGGAGGCTGACGTGGGCGTAGAGCTTCCCCAGGACCTGGCTCTCAGAGCCCGACACAAGCCCCTCCCTCAGGCTGGCCACCTGCAGGCAAGCCCAGGCCCTGGAAGGGCTCTCCTTGGACCCTTACTCGGGCCTGGTTCTCTCACTCTACACAGAATTCTAATGGTCCAGGAGCTGGTCCCCTAGCCCCTGGCAGAGGACAGGTCAGGGGTGGGGCACAGCAAACGGGACAGCTTTGATTACCGGCACACAGACAGTGAGCGAGACCCAGGGCCCCCAGGTCAGGGCAACTGTACCTCGGTGGGCTGAGTCCCTGCCCTCCAAGAGGGGGCCGGGGCCTCGGGGGGTGGGAGTGCCTCAGGGTTAAGCAGGGCACCGGGCAGGCAGTGGGGTCATTGGAGGCGCCCTCAGGACCCTGGGCTCCTCTCCCCAGCATCTCCACAGGAGACCAGCCCCGGGCCAGTCTACTTCCTGGACCCGAAAGTCACCCGTTTTGGCCGCAGCTGCACCCCTGCCTACTCCATGCAGGGCCGCGGCAAGTCTCGGGGTGAGTACCTGACCTGCGCTGCCCCTCCAGGCCCTCAGCGAGTCTCGTGCCTCCGTACTCCTCTCCCCTCCCACCCCCGAGTTCCTGGACCTCCAGTGGCTTTGGAATGACGAAATCCAGGGGACTCAGAAGAGGGGCCAGGGGCCCTGAGAGAGCCTGAATGGGTGAAGTGGCCCAGGGTGACGTGATCTTGGGCACATAGGGCCAAGGGTGCCACCAGGGCAGCTGGAGCTCACCCTCGGCGTCAGGAGACAATAGGGTACAGTGGGGACTGTGGCAAATGCAGCCATCCCCTTCGCGGGCTCCAGACAGCTCCCTCTCACCTACAGCGCATCTCCCATCCACCCACCCTTTCATCTTTGACCTACCACACAGCTACTTGTCCACCACTGATCCATCGATCCATCCATTCATACATTCGCCTATCTATCTACTCACCAACCTACCCAGCCAGCCACCTATTCATCGTCTAATCCACCCACCCACCCACCCATCCACGATCCACCCATCCACACACCCGCCCAACCACGATCCACTCATCCATCCACCCATCCATCCATCCATCCATCCATGATCCACACTCATCCATCCATCCATCCATCCATCCATCCCCCCACCCATCC